TGAGTGAGTGAGGAGTGAGTGTGTGGGTGAGTGAGTGAGGAGTGAGTGAGTGAGTGAGGAGTGAGTGAGTGAGGAGTGAGTGAGTGAGTGAGGAGTGAGTGAGTGAGTGAGGAGTGAGTGAGGAGTGAGTGAGTGAGTGAGGAGTGAGTGAGTGAGTGAGGAGTGAGTGAGTGAACAGTAAGTGAGTGAGTGAGGAGTGAGTGAGTGAGTGAGTGAGGAGTGAGTGAGTGAGGAGTGAGTGAGGAGTGAGGAGTGAGTGAGTGAGGAGTGAGTGAGTGAGTGAGGATTGAGTGAGTGAGTGAGTGAGCAGTGAGTGAGTGAGTGAACAGTGAGTGAGTGAGGAGTGAGTGAGTGAGTGAGGAGTGAGTGAGGAGTGAGTGAGTGAGGAGTGAGTGAGTGAGGAGTGAGTGAGGAGTGAGTGAGTGGGTGAGTGAGGAGTGAGTGAGTGAGGAGTGAGTGAGTGAGGAGTGAGTGAGGAGTGAGTGAGTGAGGAGTGAGTGAGTGAGGAGTGAGTGAGTGAGGAGTGAGTGAGTGAGTGAGGAGTGAGTGAGTGAGTGAGGAGTGAGTGAGGAGTGAGTGATTCAGTGAGGAGTGAGTGAGTGAGGAGTGAGTGAGGAGTGAGTGAGTGAGTAACGAGTGAGTGAGTGAGGAGTGAGTTAGGAGTGAGTGAGTGAGGAGTGAGGAGTGAGTGAGTGAGGAGTGAGTGAGTGAGTGGTGAGTGAGGAGTGAGTGAGTGAGGAGTGAGTGAGGAGTGAGTGAGTAAGGAGTGAGTGAGGAGTGAGTGAGTGAGGCGTGAGTGAGTGAGTGGTGAGTGAGGAGTGAGTGAGTGAGGAGTGAGTGAGGAGTGAGTGAGTGAGTGAGGAGTGAGTGAGGAGTGAGTGAGTGAGGAGTGAGTGAGTGAGTGAGGAGTGAGTGAGGAGTGAGTGAGTGAGGAGTGAGTGAGTGAGGAGTGAGTGAGTGAGTGAATGAGTGAGGAGTGAGTGAGAGAGTGTTTGAGTGAGGAGTGAGTGAGTGAGTAGTGAGTGAGGAGTGAGTGAGGAGTGAGTGAGTGAGGAGTGAGTGAGTGAGTGAGGGAGGAGTGAGTGAGTGAGGAGTGAGTGAGTGAGTGAAGAGTGAGTGAGGAGTGAGTGAGTGAGTGAAGAGTGAGTGAGTGAGTGAGGAGTGAGTGAGTGAGTGAGGAGTGAGTGAGTGAGGAGTGAGTGAGTGAGTGAGGAGTGAGTGAGGAGTGAGTGAGTGAGGAGTGAGTGAGTGAGTGAGGAGTGAGTGAGTGAGGAGTGAGTGAGTGAGTGAAGAGTGAGTGAGGAGTGAGTGAGGAGTGAGTGAGGAGTGAGTGAGTGAGGAGTGAGTGAATGAGTGAGTAAGGAGTGAGTGAGTGAGGAGTGAGTGAGTGAGTGAGGAGTGAGTGAGTGAGTGAGGAGTGAGTGAGTGAGTGAGGAGTGAGTGAGGAGTGAGTGAGTGAGGAGTGAGTGAGTGAGTGACGAGTGAGTGAGGAGTGAGTGAGTGAGTGAGGAGTGAGTGAGTGAGTGAGGAGTGAGTGAGTGAGTGAAGTGAGGAGTGAGTGAGTGAGTGAGGAGTGAGTGAGTGAGGAGTGAGTGAGTGAGTGAGGAGTGAGTGAGGAGTGAGTGAGTGAGGAGTGAGTGAGGAGTGAGTGAGTGAGTGAGGAGTGAGTGAGTGAGGAGTGAGTGAAAGAGTGAGTGAGTGAGGAGTGAGTGTGTGAGTGAGTGAGTGAGTGTGTGAGTGAGGAGTGAGTGAAAGAGTGAGTGAGGAGTGAGTGAGTGAGTGAGGAGTGTGTGAGTGAGGAGTGAGCGAGTGAGGAGTGAGTGAGGAGTGAGTGAGTGAATGAGTGAGGAGTGAGTGAGTGAGTGAGGAGTGAGTGAGTGAGTGAGTGAGGAGTGAGTGAGTGAGTGAGGAGTGAGTGAGTGAGGAGTGAGTGAGGATTGAGTGAGTGAGTGAGGAGTGAGTGAGGAGTGAGTGACTGAGGAGTGAGTGAGTGAGGAGTGAGTGTGTGAGTGAGGAGTGAGTGAGTGAGGAGTGAGTGAGTGAGGAGTGAGTGAGTGAGGAGTGAGTGAGTGAGTGAGGAGTGAGTGAGTGAGTGAGGAGTGTGTGAGGAGTGAGTGAGGAGTGAGTGAGGAGTGAGTGAGTGAGTGAGGAGTGAGTGAGTGAGTGTGTGAGTGAGTGAGTGAGGAGTGAGTGAGTGAGGAGTGAGTGAAAGAATGAGTGAGTGAGAGTGAGTGAGGAGTGTGTGAGTGAGGAGTGAGCGAGTGAGGAGTGAGTGAGTGAGGAGTGAGTGAGTGAGGGAGGAGTGAGTGAGTGAGTGAGGAGTGAGTGAGTGAGGAGTGAGTGAGTGAGGAGTGAGTGAGTGAGTGAGGAGTGAGTGAGTGTGTGAGTGAGTGAGTGAGGAGTGAGTGAGTGAGGAGTGAGTGAGTGAGGAGTGAGTGAGGAGTGAGTGAGGAGTGAGTGAGTGAGGAGTGAGTGAGTGAGTGAGGAGTGAGTGAGGAGTGAGTGAGTGAGGAGTGAGTGAGTGAGTGAGGAGTGAGTGAGTGAGTGAGGAGTAAGTGAGGAGTGAGTGAGGAGTGAGTGAGTGAGTGAGTGAGGAGTGAGTGAGGAGTGAGTGAGTGAGTGAGGAGTGAGTGAGTGAGGAGTGAGTGAGTGAGGAGTGAGTGAGTGAGTGAGGAGTGAGTGAGTGAGGAGTGAGTGAAGAGTGAGTGAGGAGTGAGTGAGTGAGTGAGGAGTGAGTGAGTGAGGAGTGAGTGAGTGAGGAGTGAGTGAGTGAGTGAGGAGTGAGTGAGTGAGTGAGGAGTGAGTGAGTGAGTGAGGAGTGAGTGAGTGAGGAGTGAGTGAGTGAGTGAGGAGTGAGTGAGTGAGGAGTGAGTGAGTGAGGAGTGAGTGAAGAGTGAGTGAGGAGTGAGTGAGTGAGGAGTGAGTGAGTGAGTGAGGAGTGAGTGAGTGAGGAGTGAGTGAGTGAGGAGTGAGTGAGTGAGGAGTGAGTGAGTGAGGAGTGAGTGAGTGAGTGAAGTGAGGAGTGAGTGAGTGAGTGAGGAGTGAGTGAGTGAGTGAGGAGTGAGTGAGGAGTGAGTGAGGAGTGAGTGAGTGAGGAGTGAGTGAGGAGTGAGTGAGTGAGTGAGGAGTGAGTGAGTGAGGAGTGAGTGAAAGAGTGAGTGAGTGAGGAGTGAGTGTGTGAGTGAGTGAGTGAGTGTGTGAGTGAGGAGTGAGTGAAAGAGTGAGTGAGGAGTGAGTGAGTGAGGAGTGTGTGAGTGAGGAGTGAGCGAGTGAGGAGTGAGTGAGGAGTGAGTGAGTGAATGAGTGAGGAGTGAGTGAGTGAGTGAGGAGTGAGTGAGTGAGTGAGGAGTGAGTGAGTGAGGAGTGAGTGAGTGAGGAGTGAGTGAGGATTGAGTGAGTGAGTGAGGAGTGAGTGAGTGAGGAGTGAGTGACTGAGGAGTGAGTGAGTGAGGAGTGAGTGTGTGAGTGAGGAGTGAGTGAGTGAGTGAGGAGTGAGTGAGTGAGTGAGGAGTGAGTGAGGAGTGAGTGAGTGAGTGAGGAGTGAGTGAGTGAGTGAGGAGTGTGTGAGGAGTGAGTGAGGAGTGAGTGAGTGAGTGAGGAGTGAGTGAGTGTGTGAGTGAGTGAGTGAGGAGTGAGTGAGTGAGGAGTGAGTGAAAGAATGAGTGAGTGAGAGTGAGTGAGGAGTGTGTGAGTGAGGAGTGAGCGAGTGAGGAGTGAGTGAGTGAGTGAGGAGTGAGTGAGTGAGGGAGGAGTGAGTGAGTGAGTGAGGAGTGAGTGAGTGAGGAGTGAGTGAGTGAGGAGTGAGTGAGTGAGTGAGGAGTGAGTGAGTGTGTGAGTGAGTGAGTGAGGAGTGAGTGAGTGAGGAGTGAGTGAGTGAGGAGTGAGTGAGGAGTGAGTGAGGAGTGAGTGAGTGAGTGAGGAGTGAGTGAGTGAGGAGTGAGTGAGTGAGGAGTGAGTGAGTGAGGAGTGAGTGAGGAGTGAGTGAGTGAGGAGTGAGTGAGTGAGTGAGTGAGGAGTAAGTGAGGAGTGAGTGAGGAGTGAGTGAGTGAGTGAGGAGTGAGTGAGGAGTGAGTGAGTGAGTGAGGAGTGAGTGAGTGAGGAGTGAGTGAGTGAGTGAGGAGTGAGTGAGTGAGTGAGGAGTGAGTGAGTGAGGAGTGAGTGAAGAGTGAGTGAGGAGTGAGTGAGTGAGTGAGTGAGGAGTGAGTGAGTGAGGAGTGAGTGAGTGAGTGAGGAGTGAGTGAGTGAGGAGTGAGTGAGGAGTGAGTGAAGAGTGAGTGAGGAGTGAGTGAGTGAGGAGTGAGTGAGTGAGTGAGGAGTGAGTGAGTGAGGAGTGAGTGAGTGAGTGAGGAGTGAGTGAGGAGTGAGTGAGGAGTGAGTGAGTGAGGAGTGAGTGAGTGAGTGAGGAGTGAGTGAGTGAGGAGTGAGTGAGTGAGGAGTGAGTGAGTGAGGAGTGAGTGAAGAGTGAGTGAGGAGTGAGTGAGTGAGGAGTGAGTGAGTGAGGAGTGAGTGAGTGAGGAGTGAGTGAGGAGTGAGAGAGTGAGTGCCCCCTTTCCCCCCCCCCACTGTGCCCCCCACTGTGCCCCCCACTCTGCCCCCCACTCTCCCCCCACTCTCCCTCCCCCCCCCCGACTGTGCCCCCCACTGTGCCCCCCCCCCCCACTCTGCCCCCCACTTTGCCCCCCACTCTGCCCCCCACTCCCCCACCCCCTCTGTACCCCCACTCTCCCCCCCACTGTGCCCCCACACTCTCCCCCCACTCACCCCCCCACTTTGCCCCCCACTCTGCCCCCCACTCCCGCCCTCTCCCCCCCCCACTGTACCCCCCACTCTCCCCCCACTGTGCCCCCCTCTCTCCCCCCACTCTCCCCCCCCCACTCTCCCCCCCCCACTCTCCCCCCCCCACTGTGCCCCCCACTCTCCCCCCACTGTGCCCCCCTCTCCCCCCCTCCCACTGTGCCCCCCACTCTCCCCCCCCCCATTGTGCCCCCCACCCTCCCCAGGACTTCTCTACGCTCGATCTCACCGCGTTCCACCGGGGCGGTGCCAACGTCAGCGGCCTCCAGCTCCTCGACTTCGCTAGGCCCCAGCTCAAGGAGCTCCTCCAACAGTGGAGGAAAGTGAAACCACTCTCCATGTCGTCTCCTGACAGCTACACCCTCAAGGTAGCTGGCTGGGTAGCTGTGTAGCTGTGTACCTGGCTGGGTAGCTGGCTGGGTAGCTGGCTAGCTGTGTAGCTGGCTGGGTAACTGGCTGGGTAGCTGGGTAGCTGGGTAGCTGGCTGGGTAACTGGCTGGGTAGCTGGGTAGCTGGCTGGGTAACTGGCTGGGTAGCTGGCTGGGTAGCTGGGTAGCTATGTAGCTGGGTAGCTGAGACAGCGGCCTCCAGCTCCTCGACTTTGCTAGGCCCCAGCTCAAGGAGCTCCTCCAACAGTGGAGGAAAGTGAAACCACTCTCCATGTCGTCTCCTGACAGCTACACCCTCAAGGTAGCTGGCTGGGTAGCTGGCTAGCTGGCTGGGTAGCTGGCTGGGTAGCTGGCTGGCTGGGTAGCTGGGTAGCTGGCTGGGTAGCTGGGTAGCTGGCTGGGTAGCTGGGTAGCTGGCTGGGTAGCTGGCTGGCTGGGTAGCTGGCTGGGTAGCTGGCTGGGTAGCTGGCTGGGTAGCTGGCTAGCTGGCTGGGTAGCTGGCTGGGTAGCTGGGTAGCTGGCCGGGTAGCTGAGAGGGCGGCCTCCAGCTCCTCGACTTCGCTAGGCCCCAGCTCAAGGAGCTCCTACAGCAGTGGAGGAAAGTGAAACCACTCTCCATGTCGTCTCCTGACAGCTACACCCTCAAGGTAGCTGGCTGGGTAGCTGGGTAGCTGGCTGGGTAGCTGGCTGGGTAGCTGGCTGGGTAGCTGGGTAGCTGGCTGGGTAGCTGGGTAGCTGGCTGGCTGGATAGCTGGCTGGGTAGCTGGGTAGCTGTGTAGCTGGCTGGGTAGCTGTGTAGCTGGCTGGGTAGCTGAGACAGCGGCCTCCAGCTCCTCGACTTCGCTAGGCCCCAGCTCAAGGAGCTCCTACAGCAGTGGAGGAAAGTGAAACCACTCTCCATGTCGTCTCCTGACAGCTACACCCTCAAGGTAGCTGGCTGGGTAGCTGGGTAGCTGGCTGGGTAGCTGGCTGGGTAGCTGGGTAGCTGGCTAGCTGGCTGGCTGGGTAGCTGGGTAGCTGGCTGGATAGCTGGGTAACTGGCTGGGTAACTGGCTGGGTAGCTGGGTAGCTGGCTGGGTAGCTGGCTGTGTAGCTGGCTGGGTAGCTGGGTAGCTGGCTGGGTAGCTGAGAGAGCGGCCTCCAGCTCCTCGACTTCGCTAGGCCTCAGCTCAAGGAGCTCCTCCAACAGTGGAGGAAAGTGAAACCACTCTCCATGTCGTCTCCTGACAGCTACACCCTCAAGGTAGCTGGCAGGGTAGCTGTGTAGCTGGGTAGCTGGCTGGGTAGCTGGGTGGGTAGCTGTGTAGCTGGCTGGGTAGCTGGCTGGGTAGCTGGATGGGTAGCTGGGTAGCTGGGTAGCTGGCTGGGTAGCTGGATGGGTAGCTGGCTGGGTAGCTGGGTAGCTGGCTGGGTAGCTGGCTGGGTAGCTGGGTAGCTGGGTAGCTGGCTGGGTAGCTGGCTGGGTAGCTGGCTGGGTAGCTGAGACAGCGGCCTCCAGCTCCTCGACTTCGCTAGGCCTCAGCTCAAGGAGCTCCTCCAACAGTGGAGGAAAGTGAAACCACTCTCCATGTCGTCTCCTGACAGCTACACCCTCAAGGTAGCTGGCTGGGTAGCTGGCTGGGTAGCTGGGTGGCTGGCTGGGTAGCTGGCTAGCTGTGTAGCTGGGTAGCTGGGTAGCTGTGTAGCTGGGTAGCTGGCTGGGTGGCTGGCTGGGTAGCTGGGTAACTGGCTGGGTAGCTGGCTAGCTGGCTGGGTAGCTGGCTGGGTAGCTGGGTAGCTGTCTGGGTAGCTGAGAGAGCGGCCTCCAGCTCCTCGACTTTGCTAGGCCTCAGCTCAAGGAGCTCCTCCAACAGTGGAGGAAAGTGAAACCACTCTCCATGTCCTCTCTTGACAGCTACACCCTCAAGGTAGCTGGCTGGGTAGCTGGCTGGGTAGCTGGGTGGCTGGCTGGGTAGCTGGCTAGCTGGCTGGCTGGGTAGCTGGGTAGCTGGCTGGGTAGCTGTGTAGCTGACTGGGTAGCTGGGTAGCTGGGAAGCTGTGTAGCTGGCTGGCTGGGTAGCTGGGTAGCTGTGTAGCTGGCTGGCTGGGTAGCTGGGTAGCTGGGTAGCTGGCTGGGTAGCTGGGTAGCTGGCTGGGTAGCTGGCTGGGTAGCTGAGAGAGGGGCTGGGTAGCTAGCTGGCTGGGTAGCTGGCTGGCTGGGTAGCTAACTAGGTAGCTGTGTAGCTGTGTATCTAACTGTGTAGTTGGCTGTGTCTTGTCCTCCCAGTCCAGCTCGGCGCTGGTGTACGACAGCCTGCTGGTAGCTGGGTAGCTGGCTGGGTAGCTGGCTAGGTAGCTGGGTAGCTGGGTAGCTGGATAGCTGGGTAGCTGGCTGGGTAGCTGGCTAGGTAGCTGGGTAGCTGGCTAGGTAGCTGGGTAGCTGGCTGGATAGCTGGCTGGCTGGGTAACTGGTTGTGTAGCTGGCTGGGTAGCTGGGTAGCTGGCTGTGTAGCTGGGTAGCTGTTTATCTAACTGGGTAGCTGGCTGGGTAGCTGGCTGACTGGGTAGATGGCTGTGTAGTTGTATAGCGGGCTAGGTAGCTGGCTGTGTAGCTGTGTAGCTGTGTATCTAGCTGTGTAGCTGTGTATCTAACTGGGTAGCTGGCTGGGTAGCTGGGTAGCTAGCTGGGTAGCTGGCTGGGTAGCTGGGTAGCTGGCTGTGTAGCTGGGTAGCTGGCTGGGTAGCTGGGTAGCTGGCTGTGTAGCTGGGTAGCTGGCTGGGTAGCTGTGTAGCTGTGTATCTAACTGGGTAGCTGGCTGGGTAGCTGGCTGACTGGGTAGCTGGCTAGGTAGCTGGCTGTGTAGCTGTGTAGCGGGCTAGGTAGCTGGCTGTGTAGCTGTGTAGCTGTGTAGGTGTGTATCTAACTGGGTAGCTGGGTAGCTGTGTAGCTGTGTAGCTGGGTAGCTGGGTAGCTGTGTAGCTGTGTATCTAACTGGGTAACTGTGTAGGTGTGTAGGTGTGTAGCTGTGTAGCTGTGTATCTAACTGTGTAGCTGTGTAGCTGTGTATCTAACTGTGTAGCTGTGTAGCTGTGTATCTAACTGTGTATCTGTGTAGCTGTGTATCTAACTGTGTAGCTTGGTATCTAGCTGTGTAGCTGTGTAGCTGTGTATCTAACTGTGTAGCTGTGTAGCTGTGTATCTAACTGTGTAGCTGCGTAGCTGTGTATCTAACTGTGTAGCTGTGCATCTAACTGTGTAGCTGTGTAGCTGGCTGTGTAGCTGTGTAGCTGGCTGTGTAGCTGTGTAGCTGGCTGTGTAGCTGTGTAGCTGGCTGTGTAGCTGTGTAGCTGTGTTGCTGGCTGTGTAGCTGTGTAGCTGGCTGTGTAGCTGTGTAGCTGGCTGTGTAGCTGTGTATCTAACTGTGTAGCTGTGTAGCTGTGTATCTAGCTGTGTAGCTGTGTATCTAACTGTGTAGCTGGCTGTGTAGCTGTGTACCTGTGTATCTAGCTGTGTATCTAGCTGTGTAGCTGTGTATCTAGCTGTGTAGCTGGCTAGGTAGCTGTGTAGCTGTGTGGCTGGCTAGGTAGCTGGCTGTGTAGCTGGCTGTGTAGCTGTGTAGCTGGCTAGGTAGCTGTGTGTGTAGCTGTGTAGCTGGCTGTGTAGCTGTGTATCTAACTGTGTAGCTGTGTAGCTGTGTATCTAGCTGTGTAGCTGTGTATCTAGCTGTGTAGCTGTGTAGCTGTGTATCTAACTGTGTGTAGCTGTGTAGCTGTGTATCTACCTGTGTAGCTGTGTATCTACCTGTGTAGCTGTGTAGCTGTGTATCTAACTGTGTAGCTGTGTAGCTGTGTATCTAGCTGTGTAGCTGTGTATCTAGCTGTGTAGCTGTGTAGCTGTGTATCTAACTGTGTAGGTGTGTAGCTGTGTATCTAGCTGTGTTGCTGTGTATCTAGCTGTGTAGCTGTGTAGCTGTGTATCTAACTGTGTAGCTGTGTAGCTGTGTATCTAGCTGTGTAGCTGTGTATCTAGCTGTGTAGCTGTGTATCTAACTGTGTAGCTGTGTATCTAACTGTGTAGCTGTGTAGCTGTGTATGTAGCTGTGTGTGTGGCTGTGTAGCTGTGTAGCTGTGTATCTAGCTGTGTAGCTGTGTAGCTGTGTATCTAACTGTGTGTAGCTGTGTAGCTGTGTATCTAGCTGTGTAGCTGTGTATCTAGCTGTGTAGCTGTGTAGCTGTGTATCTAACTGTGTAGCTGTGTAGCTGTGTATCTAGCTGTGTAGCTGTGTATCTAGCTGTGTAGCTGTGTAGCTGTGTATCTAACTGTGTAGCTGTGTAGCTGTGTATCTAGCTGTGTAGCTGTGTATCTAGCTGTGTAGCTGTGTATCTAACTGTGTAGCTGTGTATCTAACTGTGTAGCTGTGTAGCTGTGTATGTAGCTGTGTGTGTGGCTGTGTAGCTGTGTAGCTGTGTATCTAGCTGTGTAGCTGTGTAGCTGTGTATCTAACTGTGTAGCTGTGTAGCTGTGTATCTAGCTGTGTAGCTGTGTAGCTGTGTATCTAGCTGTGTAGCTGTGTAGCTGTGTATCTAACTGTGTAGCTGTGTAGCTGTGTATCTAGCTGTGTAGCTGTGTATCTAGCTGTGTAGCTGTGTATCTAACTGTGTAGCTGTGTATCTAACTGTGTAGCTGTGTATCTAACTGTGTAGCTGTGTAGCTGTGTATCTAGCTGTGTAGCTGTGTGTGTGGCTGTGTAGCTGTGTAGCTGTGTATCTAGCTGTGTAGCTGTGTAGCTGTGTATCTAACTGTGTAGCTGTGTAGCTGTGTATCTAGCTGTGTAGCTGTGTAGCTGTGTATCTAGCTGTGTAGCTGTGTAGCTGTGTATCTAACTGTGTAGCTGTGTAGCTGTGTATCTAGCTGTGTAGCTGTGTATCTAACTGTGTAGCTGTGTAGCTGTGTATCTAGCTGTGTAGCTGTGTAGCTGTGTATCTAGCTGTTTAGCTGTGTATCTAGCTGTGTAGCTGGCTGTGTATCTGTGTAGCTGTGTATCTAACTGTGTAGCTGTGTATCTAACTGTGTAGCTGTGTAGCTGTGTATCTAGCTGTGTAGCTGTGTATCTAACTGTGTAGCTGTGTAGCTGTGTATCTAGCTGTGTAGCTGTGTAGCTGTGTATCTAGCTGTGTAGCTGTGTAGCTGTGTATCTAGCTGTGTAGCTGGCTGTGTATCTGTGTAGCTGTGTATCTAACTGTGTAGCTGTGTATCTAGCTGTGTAGCTGTGTAGCTGTGTATCTAGCTGTGTAGCTGTGTAGCTGTGTATCTAGCTGTGTAGCTGGCTGTGTATCTGTGTAGCTGTGTATCTAACTGTGTAGCTGTGTATCTAGCTGTGTAGCTGTGTAGCTGTGTATCTAACTGTGTAGCTGTGTAGCTGTGTATCTAGCTGTGTAGCTGTGTAGCTGTGTATCTAGCTGTGTAGCTGTGTAGCTGTGTATCTAGCTGTGTAGCTGGCTGTGTATCTGTGTAGCTGTGTATCTAACTGTGTAGCTGTGTATCTAGCTGTGTAGCTGTGTAGCTGTGTATCTAGCTGTGTAGCTGTGTATCTAGCTGTGTAGCTGGCTGTGTATCTGTGTAGCTGTGTATCTAACTGTGTAGCTGTGTAGCTGGCTGTGTAGCTGTGTAGCTGTGTATCTAACTGTGTAGCTGTGTAGCTGACTGTGTAGCTGTGTGTGTAGCTGGCTGTGTGTCTGTGTCTTGTGTCCCCCAGTCTAGCTCTGCCCTGGTGTACGACAGCCTGCTGGTGCTGTGTAGCTGTGTAGTTGTGTATCTAGCTGTGTAGCTGGCTAGGTAGCTGTGTAGCTGTGTGTGTAGCTGACTGTGTAGCTGACTGTGTAGCTGACTGTGTTGTCCCCCAGTCTAGCTCTGCCCTGGTGTACGACAGCCTGCTGGTGCTGTGTAGCTGTGTAGTTGTGTATCTAGCTGTGTAGCTGGCTAGGTAGCTGTGTAGCTGTGTGTGTAGCTGACTGTGTAGCTGACTGTGTAGCTGACTGTGTTGTCCCCCAGTCTAGCTCTGCCCTGGTGTACGACAGCCTGCTGATGCTGTGTAGCTGTGTAGTTGTGTATCTAGCTGTGTATCTAACTGTGTAGCTGTGTAGCTGTGTGTGTAGCTGACTGTGTAGCTGACTGTGTATCTGTGTATGTTGTCCCCCAGTCTAGCTCTGCCCTGGTGTACGACAGCCTGCTGGTGCTGTGTAGCTGTGTAGCTGTGTGTGTAGCTGTGTAGCTGACTGTGTAGCTGTGTATCTAACTGTGTATCTGTGTAGCTGTGTGTGTAGCTGACTGTGTAGCTGACTGTGTATCTGTGTATGTTGTCCCCCAGTCTAGCTCGGCGCTGGTGTACGACAGCCTGCTGGTGCTGTGTAGCTGTGTAGCTGTGTGTGTAGCTGTGTAGCTGACTGTGTAGCTGTGTATCTAACTGTGTATCTGTGTAGCTGTGTGTGTAGCTGACTGTGTAGCTGACTGTGTATCTGTGTATGTTGTCCCCCAGTCTAGCTCGGCGCTGGTGTACGACAGCCTGCTGGTGCTGCGCGCTGCTCTGCAGCGCCTGCCTGGTGCCAGCGTCGGTGCACGCGACACGACCAGCCCGTGCCTGCAGAGCTCCTGGGAGCACGGGAACCGACTAGCAAGCTCCATGCGTGAGGTGGTACTCACCAATACACTCACCAATACACTCACCCTAGTCACTCACCAATACTCACCAATACTCAACAATACTCACCCAGTCACCCAGTCACTCACCAATACTCACCAATACTCACCAATACTCACCATCACTCACCAATATTCACCATCACTCACCCTAGTCACTCACCAATACTCACCAATACTCACCCTAGTCACTCACCATCACTCACCCTAGTCACTCACCAATACTCACCAATACTCACCATCACTCACCAATACTCACCAATACTCACCATCACTCACCATCACTCACCAATACTCACCAATACACTCACCATCACTCACCATCACTCACCCTAGTCACTCACCAACACACTCACCAATACTCACCATCACTCACCATCACTCACCAACACTCACCAATACTCACCCAGTCACTCACCAATACTCACCATCACTCACCAACACTCACCCTGTCACTCACCCTAGTCACTCACCAACACTCACCATCACTCACCATCACTCACCATCACTCACCAATACTCACCAATACTCACCATCACTCACCAACACTCACCCTGTCACTCACCCTAGTCACTCACCAACACTCACCAACACTCACCAATACTCACCATCACTCACCAACACTCACCAATACTCACCATCACTCACCAACACTCACCAATACTCACCAATACTCACCAGTCTATATCACGTCGATATAATAAATGTACTTAATATATTCTTCAATAAGCTGGGCTATTAATCACAAAGCAACGGGGTATACACCACACTAAATAATGAGTGTCTTTTAAGCTCGGTGAGATGCGTGAAACATCCTGACAAAGGAGTTTACGTATCAAAGCAGGAGAATTTAGCATTGAAATAGCTGAGGGATTAGCTTGTGACAGAAATAGCTGTGTTAAAGTCAGAGTTTACCTATCAACAGAGGCGTTTAGTGTATGGATGCTAAAGGTCTCCAACTACCCAACTATCATACAGTAAACCAAAGTGAAACAACTAAATCTATATCACATCGATACAATAAATGTACTTAATATATTCTTCAATAAGCTGGACTATTAATCACAAAGCAACTGGGTATACACCACACTACATAATAAGTGTCTTTTAAGCTCAGTGAGAGGCGTGAAACCTCCTGACAAAGGAGATTACGAATCAGAGCAGGAGAATTTAGCATTGAAATAGCTGAGGGATTAGCTTGTGACAGAAATAGCTGTGTTAAAGTTTAGTGTATGGACGCTAAAGGCCTCCAACTACCCAACTATCATACAGTAAACCAAAGTGAAAAAACTAAGTCTATATCACGTCGATATAATAAATGTACTTAATATATTCTTCAATAAGCTGGGCTATTAATCACAAAGCAACTGGGTATACACTACACTATATAATCAAAACCACATGGTAAACCAATAAAAAACCCTAAAATATATATATACTACCATAATGTTATCAATAAACTCGATGTAAATTTCGATTTAAGTCTTCCGTGACCGCAAGGATTCCATCTCCTTTGGCCCTGTCCGGTAAAGCCACCGCCACGTAGAATGAGGACGAAAATAATCAAACGAGACGATAAAATTCCCGCGACGTTTCGGCCACCACGACACAAGTGGCCCTCATCAGGTGAAAGGGACAGACCTGCCGGGGCGACAGCGGGTCCAGCGAGCGCCGCTAAGATTCGCAGAAGCGTCGTGAGAATTCTATCGGTTTTATTGTTGTTGTTGTCATTCTACGTGACTTTACCGAAAGAGCCCAAAGAAGATGAGCTCTACATGCTCTGCCATCAGCTGAGCAGCGCGACAATCAGTCGCTATACATCACGATGCCGTACGGCGGTTTCCTTACCCTCAACACCAGCACCACGGACAGCCACGGATCTTAGCGGCGCTCGATGGCATTGTGATGTATAGCGACTTATTGTCACGTTGCACAGCTGATGGCAGAGCATGTAGAGCTCATCTTCTTTGGCTCTTTCGGTAAAGTCACGTAGAATGACAACAATAAACCAAAACAATAAAATTCCCACGACGTTTCGGCCACAACACAAGTGGCCCTCATCAGGTGAAAGGGACAGACCTGCCGGGACGACAGCGGGTCCAGCGAGCGCCGCTAAGATTCGCAGAAGCGTCGTGAGAATTCTATCGGTTTTATTGTTGTTGTTGTCATTCTCATTCTACGTGACTTTACCGAAAGAGCCAAAGAAGATGAACTCTACGTGCTCTGCCATCAGCTGAGCAGCGCGACAATCAGTCGCTATACATCACGATGCCGTACGGCGGTTTCCTTACCCTCAATGCCAGCACCACGGACAGCCACGGATCTTAGCGGCGCTCGATGGAGCCGCTGTGGTCCCGGCAGTTACGTTCCTCGACCTGATGAGGGCCACTTGTGTCGTGGTGGCCGAAACGTCGTGAGAATTTTATTTTACGAGACCTCCTTTGCCAGTAACAAGATATAGGAATAGGTTTTACCCTTTTAACTGGCACAAAAACAGACACCTTTATTCAAGGCATCATGTCTGCAATAACCACAACACAAGCAGTCAAAATGCAAACAAAAGAGGCAACTCTGATAATAATATGCACTGTCCTTGAGAGTTGTCTCTTTCGTTTGCATTTTGACTGCTTGTGTTGTGGTTATTGCAAACATGACGCCTTGAATAAAGGTGTCAGTTTTTGTGCCAGTTAAAAGGGTAAAAACCTATTCCTATATGAGAATTTTATTGTTGTTATTGTATTCTCATTCTACGTGACTTTACCGAAAGGGCCAAAGAAGATGAGCTCTACATGCTCTGCCATCAGCTGAGCAGCGCGACAATCAGTCGCTATACATCACGATGCCGTACGGCGGTTTCCTTACCCTCAATGCCAGCACCACGGACAGCCACGGATCTTAGCGGCGCTCATTGGCATCGTGATGTATAGCGACTGATTGTCGCGCTGCTCAGCTGATGGCAGAGCATGTAGAGCTCATCTTCTTTGGCTCTTTCGGTAAAGTCACGTAGAATGACAACAATAAACCAAAACAATAAAATTCCCACGACGTTTCGGCCACAACACAAGTGGCCCTCATCAGGTGAAAGGGACAGACCTGCCGGGACGACAGCGGGTCCAGCGAGCGCCGCTAAGATTCGCAGAAGCGTCGTGAGAATTCTATCGGTTTTATTGTTGTTGTCATTCTCATTCTACACGACTTTACCGAAAGGGCCAAAGAAGATGAACTCTACATGCTCTGCCATCAGCTGAGCAGCGCGACAATCAGTCGCTATACATCACGATGCCGTACGGCGGTTTCCTTACCCTCAATGCCAGCACCACGGACAGCCACGGATCTTAGCGGCGCTCGAAGGAGCCGCTGTGGTCCCGGCAGTTACGTTCCTCGACCTGATGAGGGCTACTTGTGTTGTGGCATCGTGATGTATAGCGACTGATTGTCGCGTTGCTCAGCTGATGGCAGAGCACGTAGAGTTCATCTTCTTTGGCTCTTTCGGTAAAGTCACGTAGAATGAGAATGACAACAACAACAATAAAACCGATAGAATTCTCACGACGCTTCTGCGAATCTTAGCGGCGCTCGCTGGACCCGCTGTCGTCCCGGCAGGTCTGTCCCTTTCACCTGATGAGGGCCACTTGTGTTGTGGTGGCCGAAACGTCGCGGGAATTTTATCGTCTTGTTTTGTTATTTTTGTCCTCATTCTACGTGGCGGTGGCTTTACCGGACAGGGCCAAAGGAGATGAATCCCTGCGGTCACGGAAGACTTAAATCGAAGTGTTAAGGTTTTTATTCTTGGCGCTTTCGGTAAAGTCACGTTGAAGGGGAAACAATAAGATAATAAAATAATAAATATAGAACAATAAAAAAATTCTCACGACGTTTCGGCCGTAACGCAAACGGTCATCATCAGGTGTGAAAACAATAAAATTATAAAAATATAAAACAATAAAATAATAAAAATATAAAACAATAAAATAATGAAAATATAAAATAATAAAAATATAAAACAATAAAATAATAAAACATTAAAATAATAAAAAATATAAAACAATAAAATAATAAAAATATAAAACAATAAAATAATGAAAATATAAAATAATAAAAATATAAAACAATAAAATAATTAAAAATATAAAACAATAAAATTATTAAAAATATAAAACAATAAAATTATTATTCTTGGTTCTTTCGGTAAAGTCACCACCACGTAGATAGGGAAACAATAAAATAATAAAAATATAAAACAATAAAATTATTATTCTTGGTTCTTCCGGTAAAGTCACCACCACGTAGATAGGGAAACAATAAAATAATAAAAATATAAAACAATAAAATAATAAAAATATAAAACAATAAAATTATTATTCTTGGTTCTTCCGGTAAAGTCACCACCACGTAGATAGGGAAACAATAAAATAATAAAAATATAAAACAATAAAATAATAAAAATATAAAACAATAAAATAATAAAAATATAAAACAATAAAATTATTATTCTTGGTTCTTCCAGTAAAGTCACAACCACGTAGAAGGGGAAACAATAAAATAATAAAAATATAAAACAATACAATAATAAAAATATAAAACAATAAAATTATTATTCTCAGCTCTTTCGGTAAAGTCACCACCACGTTGAAGGGAAACAATAAAACAATAAAATAATAAATATAAAACAATAAAAATTCTCACGACGTTTCGACCAAAACGAAAACGTTGGTCATCAGGTGTGAAAAACCAACGGCAAAATTGTCTTACATTGTTTTAGATATATATATTTTACATATATTTTTTATTGTTTCCCCTTCAACGTGACTTTACCGAAAGAGCTTAAGCATACGAATCACTGCGGTCAAGGGTTTTTTTTTGTTGAGAAATTAAAGTTGCTGATCGCGGAATTGTTTGAGTGCTCCTTTCCCGAGTCCGCGCGTGCTGAGCTTCATCATGAGCACCGTATCCTGCGGGGTTGGATTTGAATCCGGAGACCAGGCCTAGAAGACGCCGACACTAAACATCGGCAAACGTTAACGCGAGAATGATTGTATCATGCCGATTGATCATGCGACCCTGGGGTCAATCTAGCGTACTTACACCACACCTGCATAACTTCATGCAACTAATTGCCCTATCCCGATTGATGAGACGACCACCGGCAACGAGGTTGAGCCTAATTATCACAACTGCGGACGTTAGCGTAATAGCAAGCATTCGCATAAATTAACACGATTAGCATAATTTATGTGCATAATTTGCATAAATTAACATAATTTCGGGTGGCCGCGCATGTTTCCGGATTTCGTTTATACGTATATATATTTTTTTTAATTTTCGTTCAAATTTCAATACCCGGCGTATACAACACGACTCGCCACCCCGCTCACCACCCCGCTCACCACCCCGCTCACCACCCCGCTCACCACCCCGCTCACCACCCCGCTCACCACCCCGCTCACCACTGCAGGTGGTGTTGGAGGGCGCGTCTGGACCACTGGGCTTTGACAGCGCTGGGAAGCGCTCAAAGTTCACTCTGCAGGTCATGGAGATGTCCAGCCAGGGTCCGAGTAAGGTGACTCGTCCTCACCAACACACTCACCACCACGCTCACCAACACACTCACCAACACACTCACCAACACACTCACCAATACGCTCACCAACACACCAACACACTCACCAACACACTCACTACACTCATCAACACACTCACCAACACACCAACACACTCACCAACACACTCACCAACACACCAACACACTCACCAACACACTCACCAACACACTCACCAACACACCAACACACTCACCAACACACCAACACACTCACCAACACACCAACACACTCACCAACACACTCACCAAGACACCAACACACCAACACACTCACTACACTCATCAACACACCACCACACTCACCAACACACTCACCAACACACTCACCAACACACCAACACACCAACACACTACACTCATCAACACACTCACCACCACACTCACCAACACACCAACACACTCACCAACACACCAACACACTCACCAACACACTCACCAACACACTCACCACCACACTCACCAACACACTCACCAACACACTCACCAACACACCAACACACTCACCACCACACTCACCAACACACTCACCAACACACCAACACACTCACCACCACACTCACCAACACACTCACCAACACACCAACACACCACCACACTCAGTGTCAGTGTCTGTGTGAGTGACTGGGTGAGTGTCTGGCTGAGTGACAGCACTAGCCCCTACAGCCCTGCTAGAGGCTACCTGGGGGATCTTTGTCTCTGTGTGTAGGCGCTGCTACTCGCTACTCACAGCACTTGCCCCTACATCCTGCTAGAGGCTACCTGGGGGATCTTTGTCTGTGTCTGTGTAGGTGCTGCTACTCGCTACTAACAGCACTTGCCCCTACATCCTGTTAGAGGCTACCTGGGGGATCTTTGTCTGTGTGTGTAGGTGCTGCTACTCGCTACTAACTACACTTGCCCCTACAGCGTGCTAGAGGCTACCTGGGGGATCTTTGTCTGTGTGTGTGTAGGTGCTGCTGCTACTCGCTACTGACAGCACTTGCCCCTACATCCTGCTAGAGGCTACCTGGGGGATCTTTGTCTGTGTGTAGGTGCTGCTACTCGTTACTCACAGCACTTGCCCCTACAGCCCTGCTAGAGGCTACCTGGGGGATCTTTGTCTGTGTCTGTGTGCTCAGGTGGGCTACTGGAACCCCGAGGAGAGGCTCGTGGTGACCAGGTCAGCGGAGGCCACTCCGGACCCACGCAAAATCAACACCACACTGGTCATCACTACCATCATGGTGAGTCCACTACTCAGTCACTCAGGCAGTCACTCAGCCAGTCAGTCAGCCAGTCACTCAGCCAGTCACTCAGTCACTCAGCCAGTCAGTCACTCAGACAGTCACTCAGCCAATCACTCAGTCACTCAGCCAGTCAGTCAGCCAGTCACTCAGTCACTCATCCAGTCAGTCAGCCAGTCACTCAGTCACTCAGCCAGTCACTCAGTCACTCAGCCAGTCACTCAGTCAATCAGCCAGTCAGTCACTTAGCCAGTCACTCAGTCACTCAGCCAGTCAGTCAGCCAGTCACTCAGTCACTCAGCCAGTCACTCAGCCAGTCACTCCTCAGTCACTCAGCCAGTCACTCAGTCACTCAGCCAGTCACTCAGTCACTCAGCCAGTCACTCAGTCACTCAGCCAGTCACTCAGCCAGTCACTCAGTCACTCACTTAGCCAGTCACTCAGCCAGACAGTCACTCAGCCAGACAGTCACTCAGCCAGTCACTCAGCCAGTCACTCAGCCAGTCAGTCAGCCAGTCACTCAGTCACTCAGCCAGTCACTCAGTCACTCAGTCACTCAGCCAGTCACCCAGCCAGACACTCAGTCACTCAGCCAGTCACTCAGCCAGTCACTCAGTCACTCAGCCAGTCACTTAGTCACTCAGCCAGTCAGTCACTCAGTCACTCATACAGTCACTCAGACAGTCACTCAGCCAGTCAGTCACTTAGCCAGTCACTCAGTCACTCAGCCAGTCACTCAGACACTCAGCCAGTAACTCAGCCAGACACTCAGCCAGTCACTCAGCCAGTCAGTCAGCCAGTCAGTCAGCCAGTCACTCAGTCACTCAGCTAGTCACTCAGTCACTCAGCTAGTCACTCAGTCACTCAGCCAGTCACTCAGTCACTCAGCTAGTCACTCAGTCACTCAGCCAGTCACTCAGTCACTCAGCCAGTCACTCAGTCACTCAGCCAGACAGTCACCCAGACACTCACCCAGTCACTCACCCAGTCACTCACCCAGTCACTCAGTCACTCACTCAGCCAGTCATTGAGTCAGTCACTCAGCCAGTCACTCAGCCAGTCGCTCAGTCACTCAGCCAGTTACTGAGTCAGTCACTCAGCCAGTCACTCAGTCACTCACTTAGCCAGTCATTGAGTCAGTCACTCAGCTAGTCACTCACCCAGTCACTCAGTCACTCACCCAGTCACTCACCCAGTCACTCAGTCACTCACTCAGCCAGTCATTGAGTCAGTCACTCAGCCAGTCACTCAGCCAGTCACTCAGTCACTCAGCCAGTTACTGAGTCAGTCACTCAGCCAGTCACTCAGTCACTCACTTAGCCAGTCATTGAGTCAGTCACTCAGCCAGTCACTCACCCAGTCACTCAGTCACTCACCCAGTCACTCACCCAGTCACGCAGCCAGTCACTCACCCAGTCACTCACCCAGTCACTCAGCCAGTCACTCAGCCAGTCACTCAGTCACTCAGCCAGTCACTCAGCCAGTCACTCAGTCACTCACTTAGCCAGTCACTCAGCCAGACAGTCACTCAGCCAGACAGTCACTCAGCCAGTCACTCAGCCAGTCACTCAGCCAGTCAGTCAGCCAGTCACTCAGTCACTCAGCCAGTCACTCAGTCACTCAGTCACTCAGCCAGTCACCCAGCCAGACACTCAGCCATTCACTCAGCCAGACACACACCCAGTCAGTCAGCCAGTCACTCAGTCACTCAGCCAGTCAGTCAGCCAGTCACTCACTCAGCCAGTCACTCAGTCACTCAGCCAGTCACTCAGCCAGACACTCACCCAGACACTCACCCAGACACTCACCCAGCCACTCACCCAGCCAGTCACTCAGCCAGTCACTCAGCCAGACACTCACCCAGACACTCAGCCAGACACTCACCCAGACACTCACCCAGACACTCAGCCAGACACTCACCCAGACACTCACCCAGACACTCACCCAGTCACTCACCCAGCCACTCACCCAGTCACTCAGCCAGACACTCACCCAGACACTCACCCAGACACTCACCCAGACACTCACCCAGTCACTCAGCCAGACACTCACCCAGACACTCACCCAGTCACTCACCCAGTCACTCACTCAGTCACTCAGCCAGTCACTCACCCAGTCACTCACTCAGACAGACACTCAGCCAGTCACTCACCCAGTCACTCAGCCAGACACTCACCCAGTCACTCACCCAGACACTCAGCCAGACACTCAGCCAGACAGTCACCCAGTCACTCACCCAGTCACTCACCCAGTCACTCACCCAGACACTCAGCCAGACACTCAGCCAGACAGTCACCCAGTCACTCACCCAGTCACTCACCCAGACACTCACCCAGACACTCAGCCAGACACTCAGCCAGACAGTCACCCAGTCACTCACCCAGTCACTCACCCAGTCACTCACCCAGACACTCACCCAGACACTTCATGGTGATGACTGTGATGATGATGACCATGATGATGATGACTATGATGACGATGATGACTATGATGACGATGACTATGATGATGATGACTATGATGATGACTGGATGATGATGACTATGATGATGATGATGACTATGATGATGACTATGATGATGATCACTATGATGATGACTATGATGATGATGACTATGATGATGATGACTATGATGATGACTATGATGATGATGACTATGATGATGACTATGATGATGATCACTATGATGATGATGACTATGATGATGACTGGATGATGATGACTATAATGATGATGACTATGATGATGACTATGATGATGATGACTATGATGATGACTATGATGATGATGACTATGATGATGATGACTATGATGATGATGACTATGATGATGACTATGATGATGATGACTATGATGATGATGACTATGATGATGACTATGATGATGATGACTATGATGATGACTATGATGATGATCACTATGATGATGATGACTATGATGATGATGACTATGATGATGACTATGATGATGATGACTATGATGATGATGACTATGATGATGATGATGACTATGATGATGATGACTATGATGATGATGATGTTGACTATGATGATGACTATGATGATGATGACTATGATGATGACTATGATGATGATGATGACTATGATGATGACTGGATGATGATGACTATGATGATGATGACTATGATGATGATGACTATGATGATGACTATGATGATGACTATGATGATGACTATGATGATGATGACTATGATGATGATGATGACTATGATGATGATTATGATGATGACTATGATGATGATGACTATGATGATGACTATGATGATGACTATGATGATGATGACTATGATGATGACTATGATGATGATGATGATGACTATGATGATGATGATGACTATGATGATGACTATGATGATGACTATGATGATGATGACAATGATGATGACTGTGATGATGACTATGATGATGATGACTATGATGATGACTATGATGATGACTATGATGATGATGACTATGATGATGACTATGATGATGATGACTATGATGATGATGACTATAATGATGACTATGATGATGACTATGATGATGATGACAATGATGATGACTGTGATGATGATGACTATAATGATGATGACTATAATGATGATGACTATGATGATGATGACTATAATGATGACTATGATGATGACTATGATGATGATGACTATGATGATGATCACTATGATGATGACTATGATGATGATGACTATGATGATGATGACTATGATGATGATGACTATGATGATGACTATGATGATGATCACTATGATGATGATGACTATGATGATGATGACTATGATGATGACTATGATGATGATGACTATGATGATGATCACTATGATGATGATGACTATGATGATGATGACTATGATGATGATGATGATGACTATGATGATGATGACTATGATGACTATGACTATGATGATGACTATGATGATGATGATGATGACTATGATGATGATGACTATGATGATGACTATGATGATGACTATGATGATGATGATGACTGGATGATGATGATGATGACTATGATGACTATGACTATGATGATAATGACTATGATGATGACTATGATGATGATGATGATGATGACTATGATGATGACTATGATGATGACTATGATGATCATGACTATGATGATGATGACTATGATGATGATGATGACTATGATGATGACTATGATGATGACTATGATGATGACTATGATGATGACTATGATGATGATGACTATGATGATGATGATGACTGGATGATGATGATGACTATGATGATGACTATGATGATGATGATGACTATGATGATGATGATGACTATGATGATGATTATGATGATGACTATGATGATGATGATGACTATGATGATGATGACTGGATGATGATGACTATGATGATGACTATGATGATGATGATGACTATGATGATGATGATGACTATGATGATGATTATGATGATGACTATGATGATGATGATGACTATGATGATGATGATGACTATGATGATGACTATGATGATGACTATGATGATGACTATGATGATGATGATGACTATGATGATGACTATGACTATGATGATGATGACTATGATGATGACTATGACTATGATGATGACTATGATGACGATCACTATGATGATGATGACTATGATGATGATGACTATGATGATGACTATGATGATGACTATGATGATGATGATGACTGGATGATGATGATGATGACTATGATGACTATGACTATGATGATAATGACTATGATGATGACTATGATGATGATGATGATGACTATGATGATGACTATGATGATGACTATGATGATCATGACTATGATGATGATGACTATGATGATGATGATGACTATGATGATGACTATGATGATGACTATGATGATGACTATGATGATGACTATGATGATGACTATGATGATGATGATGACTATGATGATGACTATGACTATGATGATGATGACTATGATGATGACTATGACTATGATGATGACTATGATGACGATCACTATGATGATGATGATTATGATGATGACTGGATGATGATGACTATGATGACTATGATGATGACTATGATGATGATGACTATGATTATGACTATGATGATGACTATGATGATGATGATGATGACTATGATGATGATGACTATGATGATGACTATGATGATGACTATGATGATGATGATGACTGGATGATGATGATGATGACTATGATGACTATGACTATGATGATAATGACTATGATGATGACTATGATGATGATGACTATGATGATGATGACGATGATGATGATGACTATGATGATGACTATGATGATGACTATGATGATCATGACTATGATGATGATGACTATGATGATGATGACTATGATGATGATGATGACTATGATGATGATGATGATGACTATGATGATGATGATGACTATGATGATGACTATTATGATGATGACTGGATGATGATGACTATGATGATGACTATGATGATGACTATGATGATGATGACTATGATGATGATGATGACTATGATGATGATGATGACTATGATGATGACTATGATGATGACTATGATGATGACTATGATGATGATGATGACTATGATGATGACTATGACTATGATGATGATGACTATGATGATGACTATGACTATGATGATGACTATGATGACGATGATGATGACTATGATGACGATGATGATGACTATGATGATGATGACTATGATGATGATGATGATGACTATAATGATGACTATGATGATGATGACTATGATGATGATGATGATGACTATAATGATGACTATGATGATGATGACTATGATGATGATGATGATGACTATGATGATGACGATGATGACGATGACTGGATGATGATGATGATGACGACACCACAGGACTCACCGTACTTCATGATGAAGCCCAACCACGCCGTGTTGCGTGGCAACGCCCGCTACGAAGGCTACGTAGTGGACCTCGCCGAGGAGCTGTCCAGGGCCCTCGGCTTCAGCTACGTCCTGAGCCTCGTGCCCGACGGCCGCTACGGACGCAGGGAGCCTGGCACGAGGGTGTGGCAGGGCATGATCGGAGAGGTTCTCTACGGGGTGCGTCACTCACTCAGTCACTCAGTCACTCGCTCAGTCACTCAGTCAGTCACTCACTCAGTCACTCACTCAGTCACTCACTCAGTCACTCACTAACTCAGTCAGGGAGCCTGGCACGAGGGTGTGGCAGGGCATGATCGGAGAGGTTCTCTACGGGGTGCGTCACTCACTCAGTCACTCAGTCAGTCACTCACTCAGTCACTCACTCAGTCACTCGCTCACTCAGTCACTCAGTCACTCACTCAGTCAGGGAGCCTGGCACGAGGGTGTGGCAGGGCATGATCGGAGAGGTTCTCTACGGGGTGCGTCACTCACTCACTCAGTCACTCAGTCACTCACTCAGTCACTCACTCACTCAGTCACTCACTCAGTCACTCACTCAGTCACTCACTCACTCAGTCACTCACTCACTCAGTCAGGGAGCCTGGCACGAGGGTGTGGCAGGGCATGATCGGAGAGGTTCTCTACGGGGTGCGTCACTCACTCACTCAGTCACTCAGTCACTCACTCAGTCACTCACTCACTCAGTCAGTCAGTCACTCACTCAGTCACTCACTCAGTCAGTCACTCACTCAGTCACTCACTCACTCAGTCAGGGAGCCTGGCACGAGGGTGTGGCAGGGCATGATCGGAGAGGTTCTCTACGGGGTGCGTCACTCGCTGGCTCAGTCACTCACTCAGTCACTCACTCAGTCACTCACTCAGTCACTCAGTCACTCACTCAGTCACTCAGTCACTCACTCAGTCAATCAGTCACTCACTCACTCAGTCACTCAGTCACTCAGTCACTCACTCAGTCACTCAGTCACTCACTCAGTCACTCACTCAGTCACTCAGTCACTCACTCAGTCACTCAGTCACTCACTCAGTCACTCAGTCACTCAGTCACTCAGTCACTCACTCAGTCACTCACTAACTCAGTCAGGGAGCCTGGCACGAGGGTGTGGCAGGGCATGATCGGAGAGGTTCTCTACGGGGTGCGTGGAGCGCTCACTCAGTCACTCGCTGAGTCACTCAGTCAGTCACTCAGTCACTCACTCAGTCACTCGCTGGCTCACTCAGTCACTCAGTCACTCAGTCACTCACTCAGTCACTCGCTCAGTCACTCAGTCAGTCACTCAGTCACTCACTCAGTCACTCACTCACTGGCTGGCTCACTCAGTCACTCAGTCACTCAGTCACTCACTCAGTCACTCACTCACTCAGTCACTCACTCAGTCACTCACTCAGTCACTCACTCACTCACTCAGTCACTCAGTCACTCACTCAGTCACTCAGTCACTCGCTGATTCACTCACTCGCTCACTCACTCACTCAGTCACTCACTGGTTCACTCACTCAGTCACTCACTGGCTCACTCAGTCACTCGCTGGCTCACTCACTCGCTGGCTCATTCACTCACTCAGTCACTCGCTGATTTACTCGCTCACTCACTCAGTCACTCGCTCGCTCATTCACTCGCTCACTCACTCACTAAGTCACTCGCTGATTCACTCACTCGCTCACTCACTCACTCAGTTACTCGCTGATTCATTCACTCGCTCACTCAGTCACTCGCTCGCTCATTCACTCGCTCACTCACTCACTCAGTCACTCGCTGATTCATTCACTCGCTCACTCAGTCACTCGCTCGCTCATTCACTCGCTCACTCACTCACTCAGTCACTTGCTGATTCACTCGCTCACTCACTCGCTCATTCACTGGCTCACTCACTCACTCAGTCACTCGCTGATTCATTCACTCGCTCACTCAGTCACTCGCTTGCTCATTCACTCGCTCACTCACTCACTCAGTCACTCGCTGATTCATTCACTCACCCACTCACTCGCTCACTCACTCAGTCACTCGCTGATTCACTCACTCACTCACTCACCCACTCACTCGCTCACTCACTCACTCAGTCACTCGCTGATTCACTCGCTCGCTCACTCACTCAGTCACTCGCTGATTCACTCGCTCGCTCACTCAGTCACTCGCTGATTCACTCGCTCACTCACTCGCTCGCTGGATGTAACTCTCTCCACTCCCCACCCCCACCACCACCACCTCCCTCCCCCACCTCCCCCCACCTCCCCCCTCTCCACCGCTGGATGGACGCGGCTCAGCGCGCCGATCTGGCGGTGGCTCCGCTGACGATAACGTCAGAGCGGGCGGCCGTGGTGGACTTCACGAAGCCCTTCATGACGGTGGGCATCTCGGCCATGCTGCTGGGGGGAGAAGCGGCGCTCCCTGGGGGCTCGCTGTCGCTGCTGGCTCCCCTAGGGCACGACACGTGGCTCTGCCTGCTGCTGGCACTGCTGGGGGTCGGGTGAGCTCAGTCGCTGAGTCAGTCGCTCGCTCAGTCAGTCAGTCACTCGCTCACTGAGTCACTAGGGCACGACACGTGGCTCTGCCTGCTGCTGGCACTGCTGGGGGTCGGGTGAGCTCAGTCGCTGAGTCAGTCGCTCGCTCAGTCAGTCACTGAGTCACTCAGTCACTCGCTCAGTCAGTCACTCGCTCAGTCAGTCGCTCAGTCAGTCAGTCAGTCACTCACTCACTGAGTCACTAGGGCACGACACGTGGCTCTGCCTGCTGCTGGCACTGCTGGGGGTCGGGTGAGCTCAGTCGCTGAGTCAGTCGCTCGCTCAGTCAGTCACTCGCTCAGTCAGTCAGTCAGTCACTCAGTCAGTCACTCAGTCAGTCACTCGCTCAGTCAGTCAGTCGCTCAGTCAGTCAGTCACTCACTCACTGAGTCACTAGGGCACGACACGTGGCTCTGCCTGCTGCTGGCACTGCTGGGGGTCGGGTGAGCTCAGTCGCTGAGTCAGTCGCTCGCTCAGTCAGTCAGTCACTCAGTCAGTCAGTCACTCAGTCAGTCAGTCAGTCGCTCGCTCGCTGACTCAGTCACCCACTCACTCACTCAGTCAGTCAGTCAGTCACTCAGTCACTCGCTCAGTCAGTCACTCGCTCAGTCAGTCGCTCAGTCAGTCAGTCACTCACTCACTGAGTCACTAGGGCACGACACGTGGCTCTGCCTGCTGCTGGCACTGCTGGGGGTCGGGTGAGCTCAGTCGCTGAGTCAGTCGCTCGCTCAGTCAGTCAGTTAGTCAGTCAGTCAGTCACTCAGTCAGTCACTCAGTCGCTCGCTCGCTGACTCAGTCACCCACTCACTCACTCAGTCAGTCGCTCAGTCAGTCACTCAGTCACTCAGTCAGTCACTCAGTCACTCGCTCAGTCAGTCAGTCACTCGCTCAGTCAGTCACTCAGTCAGTCAGTCGCTCAGTCAGTCAGTCACTCACTCACTGAGTCACTAGGGCACGACACGTGGCTCTGCCTGCTGCTGGCACTGCTGGGGGTCGGGTGAGCTCAGTCGCTGAGTCAGTCGCTCGCTCAGTCAGTCAGTCAGTCACTCAGTCAGTCAGTCACTCGCTCAGTCAGTCACTCGCTCAGTCAGTCAGTCAGTCGCTCAGTCAGTCAGTCACTCACTCACTGAGTCACTAGGGCACGACACGTGGCTCTGCCTGCTGCTGGCACTGCTGGGGGTCGGGTGAGCTCAGTCGCTGAGTCAGTCGCTCGCTCAGTCAGTCAGTTAGTCAGTCAGTCAGTCACTCAGTCAGTCACTCAGTCGCTCACTCGCTGACTCAGTCACCCACTCACTCACTCAGTCAGTCGCTCAGTCAGTCACTCAGTCACTCAGTCAGTCACTCAGTCACTCGCTCAGTCAGTCAGTCACTCGCTCAGTCAGTCACTCGCTCAGTCAGTCGCTCAGTCAGTCAGTCACTCACTCACTGAGTCACTAGGGCACGACACGTGGCTCTGCCTGCTGCTGGCACTGCTGGGGGTCGGGTGAGCTCAGTCGCTGAGTCAGTCGCTCGCTCAGTCAGTCAGTCAGTCACTCAGTCAGTCAGTTAGTCAGTCAGTCACTCAGTCGCTCGCTCGCTGACTCAGTCACCCACTCACTCACTCAGTCAGTCGCTCAGTCAGTCACTCAGTCACTCAGTCAGTCACTCAGTCGCTCGCTCAGTCAGTCACTGAGTCACTCAGTCACTCGCTCAGTCAGTCACTCGCTCAGTCAGTCGCTCAGTCAGTCAGTCACTCACTCACTGAGTCACTAGGGCACGACACGTGGCTCTGCCTGCTGCTGGCACTGCTGGGGGTCGGGTGAGCTCAGTCGCTGAGTCAGTCGCTCGCTCAGTCAGTCAGTCACTCAGTCAGTCAGTCACTCAGTCAGTCAGTCAGTCGCTCGCTCGCTGACTCAGTCACCCACTCACTCACTCAGTCAGTCGCTCAGTCAGTCACTCAGTCAGTCAGTCAGTCACTCAGTCAGTCAGTCACTCAGTCAGTCAGTCAATCAGTCAGTCACTCAGTCAGTCAGTCAGTCACTGAGTCAGTCAGTCACTGAGTCAGTCAGTCAGTCACTCAGTCAGTCAGTCAGTCACTCAGTCACTCGCTCAGTCAGTCAGTCACTCGCTCAGTCAGTCACTCAGTCAGTCAGTCGCTCAGTCAGTCAGTCACTCACTCACTGAGTCACTAGGGCACGACACGTGGCTCTGCCTGCTGCTGGCACTGCTGGGGGTCGGGTGAGCTCAGTCGCTGAGTCAGTCGCTCGCTCAGTCAGTCAGTCAGTCACTCAGTCAGTCAGTTAGTCAGTCAGTCACTCAGTCGCTCGCTCGCTGACTCAGTCACCCACTCACTCACTCAGTCAGTCGCTCAGTCAGTCACTAAGTCACTCAGTCACTCGCTCAGTCAGTCACTCGCTCAGTCAGTCGCTCAGTCAGTCACTGAGTCACTCAGTCACTCGCTCAGTCAGTCACTCGCTCAGTCAGTCGCTCAGTCAGTCAGTCACTCACTCACTGAGTCACTAGGGCACGACACGTGGCTCTGCCTGCTGCTGGCACTGCTGGGGGTCGGGTGAGCTCAGTCGCTGAGTCAGTCGCTCGCTCAGTCAGTCAGTCACTCAGTCAGTCAGTCACTCAGTCAGTCAGTCACTCAGTCAGTCAGTCACTCACTCACTGAGTCACTAGGGCACGACACGTGGCTCTGCCTGCTGCTGGCACTGCTGGGGGTCGGGTGAGCTCAGTCGCTGAGTCAGTCGCTCGCTCAGTCAGTCAGTCACTCAGTCAGTCAGTTAGTCAGTCAGTCACTCAGTCGCTCGCTCGCTGACTCAGTCACCCACTCACTCACTCAGTCAGTCGCTCAGTCAGTCACTAAGTCACTCAGTCACTCGCTCAGTCAGTCACTCGCTCAGTCAGTCGCTCAGTCAGTCACTGAGTCACTCAGTCACTCGCTCAGTCAGTCACTCGCTCAGTCAGTCGCTCAGTCAGTCAGTCACTCACTCACTGAGTCACTAGGGCACGACACGTGGCTCTGCCTGCTGCTGGCACTGCTGGGGGTCGGGTGAGCTCAGTCGCTGAGTCAGTCGCTCGCTCAGTCAGTCAGTCAGTCACTCAGTCAGTCAGTTAGTCAGTCAGTCACTCAGTCGCTCGCTCGCTGACTCAGTCACCCACTCACTCACTCAGTCAGTCGCTCAGTCAGTCACTCAGTCAGTCAGTCAGTCACTGAGTCAGTCAGTCACTGAGTCAGTCAGTCAGTCACTCAGTCAGTCAGTCAGTCACTCAGTCACTCGCTCAGTCAGTCAGTCACTCGCTCAGTCAGTCACTCGCTCAGTCAGTCGCTCAGTCAGTCAGTCACTCACTCACTGAGTCACTAGGGCACGACACGTGGCTCTGCCTGCTGCTGGCACTGCTGGGGGTCGGGTGAGCTCAGTCGCTGAGTCAGTCGCTCGCTCAGTCAGTCAGTCAGTCACTCAGTCAGTCACTCAGTCAGTCAGTCACTCAGTCGCTCGCTCGCTGACTCAGTCACCCACTCACTCACTCAGTCACTCGCTCAGTCAGTCACTCGCTCAGTCAGTCGCTCAGTCAGTCACTGAGTCACTCAGTCACTCGCTCAGTCAGTCACTCGCTCAGTCAGTCGCTCAGTCAGTCAGTCACTCACTCACTGAGTCACTAGGGCACGACACGTGGCTCTGCCTGCTGCTGGCACTGCTGGGGGTCGGGTGAGCTCAGTCGCTGAGTCAGTCGCTCGCTCAGTCAGTCAGTCAGTCACTCAGTCAGTCAGTTAGTCAGTCAGTCAGTCACTCAGTCAGTCGCTCAGTCAGTCACTGAGTCACTCAGTCACTCGCTCAGTCAGTCACTCGCTCAGTCAGTCGCTCAGTCAGTCAGTCACTCACTCACTGAGTCACTAGGGCACGACACGTGGCTCTGCCTGCTGCTGGCACTGCTGGGGGTCGGGTGAGCTCAGTCGCTGAGTCAGTCGCTCGCTCAGTCAGTCAGTCACTCAGTCAGTCAGTCACTCAGTCAGTCAGTCACTCGCTCGCTCAGTCACTCGCTCAGTCACTCAGTCAGTCAGTCAGTCACTCAGTCAGTCAGTCACTCGCTCGCTCAGTCACTCGCTCAGTCACTCAGTCAGTCAGTCAGTCACTCAGTCAGTCAGTCACTCGCTCGCTCAGTCACTCGCTCAGTCACTCAGTCAGTCAGTCACTGAGTCACTCAGTCACTCGCTCAGTCAGTCACTCGCTCAGTCAGTCGCTCAGTCAGTCAGTCACTCACTCACTGAGTCACTAGGGCACGACACGTGGCTCTGCCTGCTGCTGGCACTGCTGGGGGTCGGGTGAGCTCAGTCGCTGAGTCAGTCGCTCGCTCAGTCAGTCAGTCACTCAGTCAGTCAGTCAGTCACTCAGTCAGTCAGTCAGTCACTCGCTCGCTCAGTCACTCGCTCAGTCACTCAGTCACTCAGTCAGTCAGTCAGTCAGTCAGTCAGTCACTCAGTCAGTCAGTCAGTCACTGAGTCAGTCAGTCACTGAGTCAGTCAGTCAGTCACTCAGTCAGTCAGTCACTCAGTCAGTCAGTCGCTCGCTCAGTCAGTCAGTCAGTCGCTCGCTCAGTCACTGAGTCAGTCGCTCGCTCAGTCAGTCAGTCACTCAGTCAGTCACTCAGTCAGTAAGTCGCTCGCTCGCTGACTCAGTCACCCACTCACTCACTCAGTCAGTCGCTCAGTCAGTCACTCAGTCACTCAGTCAGTCACTCAGTCGCTCGCTCAGTCAGTCACTCAGTCAGTCAGTCAGTCACTCAGTCAGTCAGTCACTCAGTCAGTCAATCAGTCAGTCAGTCACTCAGTCAGTCAGTCAGTCACTGAGTCAGTCAGTCACTGAGTCAGTCAGTCAGTCACTCAGTCAGTCAGTCAGTCACTCAGTCACTCGCTCAGTCAGTCAGTCACTCAGTCAGTCACTCAGTCAGTCAGTCGCTCGCTCAGTCAGTCAGTCAGTCACTCAGTCACTCGCTCAGTCAGTCACTCAGTCACTCACTCGCTGACTCAGTCACCCACTCACTCACTCAGTCACTCACTCGCTCAGTCACTCGCTCGCTCAGTCAGTCGCTCAGTCAGTCAGTCACTAAGTCACTCAGTCACTCGCTCAGTCAGTCACTCGCTCAGTCAGTCGCTCAGTCAGTCACTGAGTCACTCAGTCACTCGCTCAGTCAGTCACTCGCTCAGTCAGTCGCTCAGTCAGTCAGTCACTCACTCACTGAGTCACTAGGGCACGACACGTGGCTCTGCCTGCTGCTGGCACTGCTGGGGGTCGGGTGAGCTCAGTCGCTGAGTCAGTCGCTCGCTCAGTCAGTCAGTCAGTCACTCAGTCACTCAGTCAGTCAGTCACTCAGTCAGTCAGACAGTCACTCAGTCAGTCAGTCGCTCGCTCGCTGACTCAGTCACCCACTCACTCACTCAGTCAGTCGCTCAGTCAGTCACTCAGTCACTCAGTCAGTCACTCAGTCGCTCGCTCAGTCAGTCACTCAGTCAGTCAGTCACTCAGTCAGTCAGTCACTCAGTCAGTCAATCAGTCAGTCAGTCACTCAGTCAGTCAGTCAGTCACTGAGTCAGTCAGTCACTGAGTCAGTCAGTCAGTCACTCAGTCAGTCAGTCAGTCACTCAGTCACTCGCTCAGTCAGTCAGTCAGTCAGTCACTCAGTCAGTCACTCAGTCAGTCAGTCGCTCGCTCAGTCAGTCAGTCAGTCACTCAGTCACTCGCTCAGTCAGTCAGTCAGTCACTCAGTCACTCACTCGCTGACTCAGTCACCCACTCACTCACTCAGTCAGTCACTCACTCGCTCAGTCACTCGCTCGCTCAGTCAGTCGCTCAGTCAGTCAGTCACTAAGTCACTCAGTCACTCGCTCAGTCAGTCACTCGCTCAGTCAGTCGCTCAGTCAGTCACTGAGTCACTCAGTCACTCGCTCAGTCAGTCACTCGCTCAGTCAGTCGCTCAGTCAGTCAGTCACTGAGTCACTCAGTCACTCGCTCAGTCAGTCGCTCAGTCAGTCAGTCACTAAGTCACTCAGTCACTCGCTCAGTCAGTCACTCGCTCAGTCAGTCGCTCAGTCAGTCACTGAGTCACTCAGTCACTCGCTCAGTCAGTCACTCGCTCAGTCAGTCGCTCAGTCAGTCAGTCACTGAGTCACTCAGTCACTCGCTCAGTCAGTCACTCGCTCGCTCAGTCAGTCGCTCAGTCAGTCAGTCACTGAGTCACTCAGTCACTCGCTCAGTCAGTCACTCGCTAGCTCAGTCAGTCGCTCAGACAGTCAGTCACTCAGTCAGTCAGTCGCTCGCTCAGCAGTCACTCGCTCAGTCAGTCAGTCACTGAGTCACTCAGTCACTTGCTCAGTCAGTCACTCGCTCGCTCAGTCGCTCAGTCACTCAGTCAGTCAGTCAGTAACTCAGTCAGTCACTCAGTCACTCACTCACTCAGTCACTCAGTCACTCGCTCAGTCACTCGCTGACTCAGTCGCTCGCTCAGTCACTCAGTCAGTCAGTCAGTCACTCAGTCACTCGCTCAGTCAGTCACTCAGTCACTCACTTACTCACTCAGTTAGTCACTCAGTCACTCACTCACTCACACACTCAGTCACTCACTCACTCGCTGACTCACTCAGTCACTCACCCATCCACCCACTCAGTCACTCAGTCACTCGCTCAGTCAGTCACTCAGTCACTCACTTACTCACTCAGTTAGTCACTCAGTCAGTCACTCACTCGCTGGCTCAGTCACTCAGTCACTCACTCGCTGGCTCAGTCACTCACTCAGTCAGTCACACACTCACTCACTCGCTGACTCACTCAGTCACTCACTCGCTCACTCAGTCACTCAGTCACTCACCCACTCACTCACTCACACACTCACTCAACCACTCACTCAACCACTCACTCAGTCACTCACTCACCCAGTCACTCACTCACACACTCACTCAACCACTCATTCACTCAACCACTCACTCAGTCACTCACTCACTCACTGGCTCACTCAGTCACTCGCTCACTCACTCGCTCACTCACCCACTCACCCACTCACTCACCCACTCACACACTCACCCACCCACTCACCCACCCACTCACCCACCCACCTACCCACTCACCCACCCACCCACTCACTCACTCACCCACCCACTCACTCACTCACCCACCCACCTACCCACTCACCCACCCACCCACTCACCCACCCACACACTCACTCACTCACCCACTCACCCACTCACTCACTCACCCACCCACCCACCCACCCACTCACCCACCCACCCACCCACACAACCACCCATCCACCCACCCACCCACCCACTCACCCACCCACTCACCCACCCACCCACTCACTCACTCACCCACCTACCCACCCACTCACTCACCCACGTGGTCTGTAACCCCCCCTGCCCCCCCCCCAGCTCCGTGCTCTTCGTGTTGTCACGCTTCAGCCCCTACGAGGGGGGGGGCCGAGGGGGCGGGGCGGTGGGGGGGGGGGGGCGCCCCCCCGCTACCCCCAGCACCAAAGTGGCGATTGGGGACAGCTTGTGGGGGGCCTTCAACCTGCTGATACAGCATGGCAGTCATCTCACTCCACGGTACATCAACAACATCAACAACATCAACAACAACAACCTGTCTCTGTGTGTGTGTGTGTGTGACTGTGTGTGTGTCTGTGTGTGTGTGTGTGACTGTGTGTGTGTGTCTGTGTGTGACTGTGTGTGTGTATCCGGCAAAACAACCCCCTACCTCCATAAAACCATTTTGGTTTCTCCAATGTAAAGACATATCTCGGACCGCATCCGCGAACATAAAGCAGACTTGAAACACGGTAGGACGAACTCCTCTGCCGTGGCAGATCACTGTTATAAATCAGTGGGCTCACATGACATTGACTTCTCCAAGACGGAGGTTCTTTGCAAACCAACCGGCTACCATGAGAGATTCGTTCATGAGGCCATTCACATATACAAGCACAGAGACAATTTCAACCGAGAAGATGGATTCAGGCTTAGTAACCACTGGAAAGATGTTTTAAACCATTTCGGTTCTTAATTAATTGTATTTTTACGATGACCTTCAGACCGCAGCTCTTTCGCCAGCATTGCCTCTTAATACCTCTCACACCACGGTTAATGGTATGGTTTTACAACATGGAGTATACTAGGGCCTCGCAGCTGTCTCTCTCCACCTCCTCTGTTCCGACCATGGACGAACTCGTCCGTCTGAACGGGGCCCGTAGCTATCCGTGGTGCTGAAATTTGAGGGTAAGAATCCACCCATTTTTTCGCCATATAGCATTGTGATATATAACGACTTATTGTTGGTAGCTTAGCTGATTGGAGAATATAGAGTTTATTGATAACATGAAGGTAATTTATATTTTAGTTTTTATTGGTTCACTATATAGTACTGTGAATAGCTCAGATGTGTAGTCATTTCTGTGACCAGTCACTAGCTAATCACTCAGTTATTTCAATGCTAAATTCGCCTAGTTATTTCAATGCTAAATTTTCCTGTTTGATTTGTACTAAGTGCCTCGGTGAATGTGTATGCTCTGACTTTAACGTAGCTATTTCTGTGAGCAGTTACAAGCTAATCACTCAGCTATTTCAATGCTAAATTCTCTGCTAATTCCATTGTCAAGGGGTGCCTCTGCGGATGTGTATGCCTTAACTTAGCTATTTCAATGCTAAATTCTATGCTAATTCCTTTAACAATGGTGCCTCTGCGGATGTGTATGCTTTAACTTTTAACATAGCTATTTCTGTGACCAGTCACAAGCTAATCATTCAGCCATTTCAATGCTAAATTATATGCTAATTCCTTTGTCAAGGCGCTTTGTTCCTCTCACACAGCTTAAAGGCCGTGATCTGAACGTGGCTCTTTCACTCCAGCGCTGTCCTACCAGACAGTCTCGCCCCTTCACCTGATGACGGCCGCTTGTGTTGTGGCCGAAACGTCGTGAGAATATTATTGTGTTATTTTATTTTATCAATTTATTATTTTATTCTCATTCTACGTGACTTTACCGAAAGAACCAAAGAAGATGAATCATTGCAGTCACGAAAGCTTTAAATCGAAACCTATATCTCTGCTTTATTGACCTGGTCAAGGCCTATGATACCAACAGTAGGCCTGGGCTCTGGGTTGTTCTTCGTGCTTTTGGAGTACCTGACCCTCTGCTCACAATCATTAAGGACCTTCATGATGGTGAGCGGGCCCGGGTAAAACTACGTGGCCAGGAGTCAGAGCCATTCACTGTACACCTTGGGGTGCGACAGGGATGTCCTCTGGCTCCCACATTATTTAACATCTATTTTGACCCCGTAGTTCGTGAAGCCTGCAATAGCTGTACCGGGGGAATCTCCATATGGTACAGATATAATGGGAGGCTAATCGATGCCCGGGCATGGTCAAGGGATGGCTCCCTATTGCTCAAACCCCTGTTATGTATGCCGATGATTTGGTAATAGCTGCTCAGTCAGAGGAGGAGTTGGAGACGCTGCTGCTGAGACTGGAGCGTGCCACTAAGAGGTGGGGCCTTACCATCAGCCCCACCAAAACTAAGCACCTGCCTGGGTATTTTGTACCATCGGACACTCCACCCCCACAACTCCCAATCGGTGATGGGGCAGTTGTGGAGAGAGTGGAGAGTTTCCCAGTTTAACAGCAGAGGTCTCACTGCGAATCAGTCGAGCGGCAATATCTTTTCATCGGTTGTGTAACGATGTGTGGAAGCTACCTGGTCTGTCGCTCTGCACTAAACTTCAGGTCTTCTCGGCCACGGTCATTCCCTCCCTTCTCTACGCTTGCGAAACGTGGACCCCCCTTATGGAACATCTTCGCCGGTTAGAAACATTTAGGCTGGCCTGCCTACGATCCATCCTGGGTTTAACATGCAGGCTGGATTGTCTGAGGAGCTCACAAATCCTTGAAAGATCTGGGCAAGGTCCCATCGGTGAGCTCCTCCAGCAGGCAAGGCTGCGATGGCTGGGTCATGTAGCCCGCATGCCCAGCCACCGCATGCCGAAACAGCTTTTGTTTGGCCGGATTGAGGGGGCTAAGCGGGCGCGGCACGGGCTAGAGAAGAGATGGAGTGATGTGGTACAGGAGGACGTGGAGCTGAGTGGACTTGCCGATGACTGGTACCAGCGGTGTCAAGATCGGCCTCTGTGGAGGAGGCTTGTGAAGGACGCTACTGGGCAGTTGGAGGCAGTCGCCCTCCAACAACAACGGAGGGCGGAGGAGCGACGCTCACAACAACGAGCGGAGCGCCGGGTGGCTAAAGCACAGCAGGTTGGCACAGTAGGGGGCACAGGTGGTGCATCAGCCAGTCATCTCAGTCAGTCGACCCGTGGCACCTGGGTCTGCCCATGACCTCCTGCCAGCGGGCGTTCGACA